CTTACTGCAGCTGCGAAGAAACCATCATGCACCTTCTATGTGAGTGCACCCATTTCAACGCGCCAAGACAAGAACTGACTGCAGCTCTGAATAGACTGGATGATCGGCCTTTGTCGGAACAAAGAATTCTGGGCCATTGGCCGAGCCCATCCTCAGCCCAGAAGGCCTTGAAAGCTCTGCTACGCTTTTAACGGACAACTGGCTTCAGAGACAGACTTTAGTGTCTTATACTCTTTGATGTTCACTTGCCTCTGTCGCTGTTTTTTTGTAATTTTTCGCTTGGCAACAATTATTTTCACCATCTTTTCCCCTCACCCCTTTCCCCAGCACAGGGTAGCCAGCCTGTCTAATAACTGGCTAACTGCCTGTCCTTTCGCTTAAACGTTCCTCCTCCTCCTCCTGAACGTAGTAAGAGTTGTCAGTTACGCTTGGCAGTGTGCGCTTTGTTTTTCACTGAGTTGGTTGGTTTGTAAAACCTTTATTGGAAGTCCAGCAGAGCTTTCGCCAACCGGATCTTCGGTCTCCCGCGTAGGGACCACAAGCCATTGCTTGACGGCCGCCTCGCCGGCCTGCTTGGACGGCCCAGAGTTGGTCGCTGAGGTAGGGGCTGCACAGGGACAGCGGTCCACCACTGCGAAAGGCTTCCGGATATAGCACCTTGCGGATTTTTTACACAATCTCAGAGCATGTGAATTAATGTGGCAACCTCAATGTGACATATCTTGGATGTATTCGTTGGATCTATATAGGACATAGTCTGTTCAACAGTGATGGGTTGGGATACGTGTGCGTCTGCGGCTGTCGTAGGGCTTTTCGCCGAGTCGCTTGCAGAGTTTCCCAGGGGGGGGGGGTATTCCAATTTCTCAACAAATTGAACTAAATTTTGTGCCTATCATGTTCACTTCTCAAATTTTTTAATAACTTTGAGTAGTTCAGTGTTTCGAGAGGGGCAAACACTATTTACAGAAGGGTGGCGAGGTCAACCTGAGTGATGGTTTGCTTCGGCCTGCAGCTCCACCCTACAGTAGGATAAGGAGAAGCAAGAGAGAGGAGTGTCGGTGGTAGAATAGGTCGGTGAGAAGATAGTGCCGTCATGTTGTGGCACTTCTGAAAATATTAATCCATATGAGTGGCCTACAAGCGTTCTTAGAACCTCCTCTGCACTGTTTACACCAAGACAGGAACCCAACGCAACCCCTTCGGCTAATGGTCTGCCATAAAATTGTGTAATAAAAAATCAGCTTTTGATGTTGCCGTGCGTATACTGGACAGGTACAAAATACATCCCTGGTGTTTCTGGTAATTGACAGAGACTACGATTAGGTCCTGTGTCCCTACGAACGAATATGATGATGTCTTGTGGAGGTCACACCGAGATGGCTCCAGTGTATCATACATGTTATGTGGCATTTTAGTTTATGAAGCATGTGGATCCTCATTGCGAGGACCTATTTATGCAGTCACCGGGGCTGTCGTTCTTGTTTCTTCCAGTTTTCTAATGCAGAGGTGGGAATGACGCACCGAAATATGGCATTTGTGTCTCATCGGTAAATTCAAATGCACATTTTCAGGGCAAAATTTAAAGCAACTTTTGCTCCAGAATCAACTTCTTCACTCCGCATTACGCGACAGTGAGCAGAAATTCTCTTGAATAGGACATGATGCCAGCAATACTTTTTTGCAGACTAGTTTTCGGGACATAATGGCCATTCTTCGAGGCAATGTCGAGAAACCTTGTTTGTTACATAAATAAATCATAATATGATCCTTTCATTATGACGTAATGAACGGTTTGAAGAGCAGGTTTCGCGTCGCATAAGATCACCCGTCTTCAAGCGGAAGCGGGCTCTGTCGAAAATCGTAATTTGGCCCAGATAGCAAAACACTTTTGCGGCAGTTGGAGAAGAACTAAGGTTAATGATGTAGTGAAAATATCCTTTCAACTAAATGAAATCAATACATTGAAATGTTATTCACATGCAAAGAGGAGGTAGAAAAATAACTACTTTTTTACAGGAAACATCCGCAGCAAAGAACGAAAGCACATATAAGGTAATGTGCTGTAATGCGATCTCCTCTAACTGATCTTTGCATTTCAGAAACATTTGTGTTGGAATAAATATATTTTCAAGAATGTCCAAACTAAATAAATTTTTAATTTTCTTCATGGAAATCGTGCTGCTTTTTCAGGCTTCTTTCGTGATGACTATTAACTCGGTAATATCTCACTACTCTGGACATAGTGTTCCGAGTGCCCCTATGAGGCCAGTTGTTTTCCTCTAAAACTTAGATTAAATATTTTTTACCACGAAAGTGTTTTAACCCGGGGTCCACCACATCTCTGTGACGTGTTTCTGTCACGGATATGACATTGTAAAATATTAACAGATTCAGAAGAAAAAAAAAACAAGAAGAGAAAGTTTCGCAACGCCGCGTCGGAACACTGACCTCGCAATTCTAAGTGTGCGACGCTAACGCAGAGCGACTCTTCATAAGCTTCTCATACGGTCAGCCAATTATACACACCATGAACAGCTGGCGGTCCTCAGATCTTGGAAAATTCAGCGTGGCTTCGTTATCAACAGCGGAATAGCAGGACGAACGCAGGTTGCGATCACTCGATAGGACGTCGTACAGCGTCATCCCGCGCGTCGCTATGAGCCTGCGCCTCCCCATAGCATTGTCAAAGTGCTTATAGAAGTTCTATTGTGTAGTGGCTCTCTCTCGCACGCGCATTGTACCCTTTTCGCTGCTTGCGGAAGTTTTCTTCAAGTTACAGTGTAGTTAAAGAGAGTACAAACATCACTTTTAAATGCGAAGCATTTCTTAGCGAACTTCGGCGACAATGAGCGTATCTATCTATCTATCTATCTATCTATCTATCTATCTATCTATCTATCTATCTATCTATCTATCTATCTATCTATCTATCTATCTATCTATCTATCTATCTATCTATCTATCTATCTATCTGTCTGTCTGTCTGTCTGTCTGTCTGTCTGTCTGTCTGTCTGTCGGCTGTCTGTCTGTCCTGTCTGTCCTGTCTGTCTATATATCTGTCTGTCTGTCTGTCTATATATCTGTCTGTCTGTCTGTCTGTCTGTCTGTCTGTCTGTCTGTCTGTCTGTCTGTCTATATATCTGTCTGTCTGTCTGTCTGTCTATATATCTGTCTGTCTGTCTGTCTGTCTATATATCTGTCTGTCTGTCTGTCCATATATCTGTCTGGCTGTCTGTCTGTCTGTCTGTCTATATATCTGTCTGTCTGTCTGTCTATATATCTGTCTGTCTGTCTGTCTGTCTATATATCTGTCTGTCGGTCTGTCTGTCTGTCTGTCTGTCTGTCTATATATCTGTCTGTCTGTCTGTCTATATATCTGTCTGTCTATCCTGCCGCTTATGACTTAGCTCTCCTGGCCGTTTCAATAATGGTATCGAGACCTAACTTGCTCTGAAATAGCATGACTACATGAAAAACACATTTGACTAGTCATAACATGAAAATCATGAGAAGCTTGTCATGAAAGTCATGGTTTACATTTCATGATATTGCAGCACTCGCGGTGGTTTCGTTCACATGACATGTTGCAAAACAAATTAGGTATGACATGACTGCATGGCGAACGCCAGCGACATACCTTAACATGAAAATCATGACACGCATGTCATGTAGGTCATGAAGCATCACTACACTCCACGCTCACGGTGTGCTTGCGGTCGTTTCGCTGGCTTCACATATACCAACTATGGTTTGATTGATATGTGGGGTTTAACGTCCCAAAACCACTATATGATTATGAGAGACGCCGTAGTGGAGGGCTCCGGAAATTTAGACCACCTGGGGTTCTTTAACGTGCACCCAAATCTGAGCACACGGGCCTACAACATTTCCGCCTCCATCGGAAATGCAGCCGCCGCAGCTGGGATACGAACCTACCAACTATGGTTTGACGAAACGTCAATGCATGACTAAGGTATACGACTGGTGCATACATGATAGTCATGAAATGCGTGACATGTTAGAACGTGACTGAAAGCCAGGCTCATGATGCGCTTGTAGTCGTTTCGCTAGCTTCACTTATACCAAATTAGGTATTACGAGACGTGAATGGATGACGAAGGTATATGACTGGTGCAAACATGATGATCAACAAGTGCGTGTTATGTAACAACATGACTACAAGCCACGCTGATGATGCGCTCACGGCCGTTTCGCTAGCTTCACATATACCAAGTTTGGTATTGCGCGACGTGAATGGATGATGAAGGCATGTGACTGGTGCGAACATGATAATCATTGGATGCGTGTCATGTAAGAACATGACTACACGCCTCCCTCAAGGCACCAATACACTTCGACGGGACTAGGCGCGCGTGCGAGCCGGTGGTCGTTTCGTCACGTAACGACGGCGATGCCACGCTAGGAGCCGATCTGCCTGCCATATACTTAGGCGTGCGTTGTTCTGCGTTGCTTAGACGCATACACGTTTGAGCGCGACGAGCGTTTCTCCGTCACGAAGAAGGGCCGACGCAGTGCTGTCCGGGTTAATTCATCGGTGCGAAATGCACTATGTCGCATTTCACGTCGGTTCCCGCTTGGCCGTGCCGACGAACGCTGGTCGCGCCTGGCGTCGCTAGGGCAGCGTTGCTGTGCTCAGCCTGCACGCGCGTCAACGTTCCGCCCGAGTGTATTGGGTCATTCATGATGCACTTGTGGCCGTTTCGCTAGCTCCACATACACCAATTTTTGTATCATGTGACGTGAATAGATGATGAAGGTAAATAACACATTGAAACATGATAATCATGAAAGGAAGTAACGTACGGCCTAGTTTACTTCCGCTTCGTAACGTTGTGCCCATTTTAAAGAAACATATCAACCTTCCACATTCATGCTTCGTGTATCATAGATTCACATTGTAAGTGGAATCTGCAAATTGTTTTGTCAATATGGACTGTTTGTGAATGTTGGGAACATACTTTGCACCAATGTTTTTGCAGACAGCAGCACTCAGTGCCTATTCGATGGCACTACGTATGCCGACGGTGATGAGTGGCAGCCGGACCCGTGCACCACGTGCAAGTGCCTACTTGGAAACAGTGTCTGTGATTCGGAACAGTGTCCGAGACTAGAGTGCCGTGACCAGTACGTGCCTTTGGGGCAATGTTGCCCTGTGTGCACAGGTAAGCATTTTAAACACAATTAACTAATTCAGGGTATTTGTTGTGATGCCACTGTAAATCCTGTGGGAAGAATTTGACGAATACCAAGAGACCCATAGAGCGGCTAGAAGCGTCGAAAAGGTAACAAGATCTGTCATCACCACTGTTTCCATCTGGCATACGCACCGCATTAGCGGAGTGATAATATTTAGGGAGCCTATACTTGCAAGCGCATTAGCGGAGTGATAATATTTAGGGAGCCTATACTTGCAAGGGCGAAGACCTCAATGTCACTGTGAACAGAGTTCAATGTCTGCGCGGCATTCCTGAAGCAAATTCACCTTATCACTACAAATACCTGAAAGGCTTCTAGTGCAAGGTCCGAGACCGTGCTGCGCTATATGATGATACCCATAATGACAGAGAAGGCAGATCGAACAACCGGGTAGCTTGCGACGCTCTCTGTAAGCCCCATAACTCCGCTTGCCTGTTACTCATACTCTAAATACTTTGTTGTCTTTAACATCATTTTCCGCTGCAAGTTTAGATCCTGCGAACGAATCTGTACTATGAACTGCTTAAAAACCTTACAAGTTGTAAGCATTGCCAGAAAATAGTAGGGCACTCAATCATATTGAGTGCCACCTCTGCCCTCCCCCACAAGCCTGTGTACTAGGCTGTAAGAAAAGCAAGGGGGAGCAACAAGGGACAAACCGACCATTTTCCAGGTCAGATTTCATTGCAAATAGCATCCAAACAGCATCTGGCGTTAATTTCGTCGAACCGTTTTGCCTCCTATGCCGGAAGCATGTGTTCTGTGCAGTGGGCCAGGAAAAAAGCAATAGGGTGAAAAGTAAGACACAGCGGCCACCACATATACGGAGTCCATATACAATTAATGTACAAGCTCTTAATATAAGCTGAGTTCACTATATGAAATAGTCTTAGTGGCTAGGTATGAAACAAAAGGAGGACAAAAATATCCACGCAGCACCAATCTCCCATAGGACATATTTGAGTATTGGGCCCACAACCGCCTTTCGTAGTGCATATATACTGCGCCGTTAAGGACTGACAGACAGACAAAAAGAAACGAACGGACACAAAGGGTAAATCTGTCGCCATTTATATCATTGAAGCGAAATCCTTTTTGCCAATAATGATCGAGCTTTGGTGTGGTTCCGCGTGTCATTGAAGGGAAGAATCAATACCCCATGGCTGGCCACATCAAATCTAGTTGTGTTGCAACTGTTCAAGACTACAAGAGTCTAAAGAGAACGCATTCGTCGGCTCATCTGTCTACATCTCCATGTGCCCTTCCTCCGCGGCTGTTACTTCTTTCTACTCCGCGTCTCCCCAAGTCACCTCATTTCTTACGCAATACCACGAAATTCTCGATTACCATCGGACCTCGCGCCGCCTTTACCCAGAAGTTGCCCGGGAACTCCCTAAAGCGAACGAGCGACTTCTGAGACTTTTGCAGACGAACCCGTTCTTGCGTCCAGCAGCCGCCCAGCATTTCATGCCAGCCACTTATGGCTAAAGTGCGCATTCTGTGGTGCTAGTCGACACCTACCAAACGATTTCGGTATATCCGGTCATACCTCTTTCATTTTCAACCCTTCCTTCCACCCACAAGAAAGACTTGGGAGGAGTTTCTGCTCGGCTGCTTAACACAGGACGCTCAGCGTTCCTTGTTGACATGCGCCGGAGTAGCAATGACCTCCAGTGGGCTTCTGGAATAAGACCACCCAAGTGCATCTGTAGTGGAACACTGAGTGCTTTTCTGAATAAATGATTTTCACCACCACCATGGCGACCTAGGTAAAACGTTCGACTAGTTGTATCATTCGAGTGGTGAACTGCGCTTTGACTACGATGAAAAACAAGCATACCCAAGTTAACAAGCTGTGCAGTAAGACAGTATGTTGAGCCAGTTGGTTAGGATTCATCGTGAACCTATTTACCGCGCGACACCAGAAAACACAAGACAAGGAAGCAGCAAAACAGAAAGAAAAGATTATCTATCTATCTATCTATCTATCTATCTATCTATCTATCTATCTATCTATCTATCTATCTATCTGTCTATCTATCTATCTATCTATATATTTATCTATCTATCTATATATTTATCTATCTATCTATATATATATCTGTCTGTCTGTCTATATATCTGTCTGTCTATATATCTGTCTGTCTGTCTATCTATCTGTCTGTCTGTCTATCTATCTGTCTGTCTATCTATCTGTATGTCATATATCTGTCTGTCTGTCATATATCTGTCTGTCTATATATCTGTCTGTATGTCTGTCTGTCTGTTTGTCTGTCTATGTATCTGTCTGTCTGTCTGTCTATATATCTGTCTATCTGTCTGTCTGTCTGTCTATATATCTGTCTGTCTGTCTATATATCTGTCTGTCTGTCTGTCTATATATCTGTGTCTGTCTGTCTGTCTGTCTGTCTGTCTGTCTGTCTGTCTATCTATCTATCTATCTATCTATCTATCTATCTATCTATCTATCTATCTATCTATCTATCTATCTATCTATCTATCTATCTATCTATCTATCTATCTATCTATCTATCTATCTATGTATCTATCTATCTATGTATCTATGTGTCTATCTATCTATGTATTTATCTATCTATGTATCTATGTGTCTATCTATTTATGTATCTATCCATATTCGTATCTATTTGTCTATCTATCTATGTATCTATCTATCTATCTGGCCGCCTACGACTTTTACCTCTTCTGTCCGTTTCAACACAGCGATCTATACCAAAACCCGTATGACTTAACATGGCTGTATGAAAAACATAAATTACAAGTCATAACATGAATATCATTGCACGTATAACGTGAATGTCATAATTTAGATTTATTGGTCTTGCTGCTGCTGTGGTGGTGTCGTTCACGTGACATTTCGCAGATGTGTAATGGTATGAAATGACTGCATGGCGAACATAAGTGACAGTACCAAGCGTGCAATTCATGACATGCATGTAATGCAGGTCATGACTTCACGCTCATGGTACGCTCGCGGCCGTTTCGCTAGGTTCACAGACACCAAATTCGGTATTCCGAGACGTGTATGCAAGACGAAGGTACAGGATGAAAAAACAAGTTATAATCACGACATTCGTGTCATGTACAACATGACCACTTGCTGCGCCCATACCACGCATGCGGCCGTTTTGCTAGAGTTAATTTCCTCCTCCCCTACTTGCTTCGACACTAGCTAAGGAAGGAACATGTTTGAGGGTCGGAATGTGTCCCCTTGATGACTCGAGTGCACGGTGGCAGCGCGAAGGAAGAGCCGTTTTCCGGTGAAAAGACTCTGTATTGCAGCCTCAGGCTACTGCCTAAGTCCAAGCCTGAACATCCACTCTCTCTATTTCAGATTCAAACATCCTCTTTTCAACCCTCGCTTGAATAAAGGGTCTTTCCACACGCCAATCACACGTGTGGGCTCGCATTGCCGAAACCAATTGCAGAAACACTTTCATAATCGACACTACATCGGTTAAAACCACGTTACCAATTAAAACACGCAAAGGGTTAGGTTCTCCGCGTGTGACATTCTCTCCCATGCCAGGCCATGCTGCCTCCGTTGGCCGACTTCCGTCTGCAGCCGTTCTCACGCTCGAGCCCCGTCAGCTCTCTCTTTAAATGTTGCTTCGTAGAAGCCTCCCTAAGAGCGGTGAGTACTCCGTTGGGCTCCGTGCGCTTACCAGGTGCGCATGCGACAGCAAGGCGCCCCGACATCCTAAGAGCACTCAGTAATGATGTACAGCGGGGGAGGCTATGCTCGTCTCCCTGCCGCCACTATGCCTCGGTCAGCCAAGTGGTCGCGTCCCCGCGTCATTCTCAATGGCCCGCGTGCATGCCAACAATGCCTCAAACTCAGACGGTGGCTCCTGACATGCCTCTTGCCAGACGCTTTTCCGAGTAAGCCTTCCCCTTCTAGTCCCGAACGGGGCGACACTTGACGGCTCCGCTCGTAAACCGTGCGAACGAAGGAGTCTCCTTTTTTTCCCGTGCTCGGGGTCTTCTTGCGCGTTCGCCTTCGCGGAACCAATCGGCTTCGCTAGTTGATGGGTCGGGAACTGGCTACGCGCTCTACATCAGCCGCATTAATTGCGCTACACCCAACACGCTGGTAATTGGTGCCTCATAATAACTGATAGCTTCACATGTACACAAATTAATTTTGCTTAACCTGAAGAAACGATGAAGGTAAATGATGCGTTCAAACACAATAATCAAGATATACATGTCATGTAAACAATGACCACATTATACGCTCATGATGCGCTCGCGGCCATTTCGCTAGTTCCACATATACCAAATTTGGTATGGCGTGAGGTGAACGAATGACAAAGGTATATCACACGTCCGAAGATGATAATCATAGCATTCATGTCATGTAACACCAGATTACATGCTGCGATCATAGTGCACTCGTGGTGATATCGCTTATTAACATACGCCCAATTTGGTGTTTCATGACGCGAATGAATGATAAAGGTATAAAACTAGTCAGACATGGTAATCATGACATCCGTGTCATGTTAGAAAATTACTTCATACTACGCTCATGATGCGCTCGCGGCCATTTCACTACCTCAACATATACCAAATTTGGTGTTGCGTGACGTGAATGAATAACGAAGGTAATAAACACGTCCAAGCATCATAAATCTGATAAGTAGGTCATGTTAAACAGGACGACTTGACAAGCTCATAATGCGCCTGGAGTCGTTGCGCTAGCTTAAACTATACAACTTGGTAATACGTGAAGCGAATGGGCGACCTATACACTGCAAAAAAGTATCCGTACTTTTACGAGCTTATTATACTTAAGAAAGCGGAAGCCGTTTACGTTTTCTAAAAAAAACCTCCGGGATGACCGTACTTTTGTTGTGCGCTGCACGGCTTGAGATGCCTCCACAACGTGAACGCTCTCACTCGCATGGGCCGGCGCTGGCTTCATCATCAGGGCGGTGGAGAAGGA